TACTTCATTAACCATATCCACACTAACTTATTTCCTATTCGTCCAATCTGGCCTAATAAGTTAAAAAATCTACATAAAACATAAAAATTTAGGTAGGTAGTAGGTGCCTCATTTTCCTAAAACTCATATGTAAATTTATGAGATTTTTACTCAATATAATACTTAACCATAGACGACTGAATTCAAAAACAGTATCTATTTGTTTCATATTTTTTTGAGTTTTTATTAATTTGCTTGTTTATATTTTTCAACGGTTTCTAATTGGATTCATTTTTATATAGGTAAATATGATTTATTAATGTTTTTACTTTTTAGCGAAACCTCTTACTTTTTAGTCTCGAATAAATTAAATCTGGAAACTTTGGGTTTTACAATATTGCCATGATTATGTAAGTAAACTAAAAACACCTTATAGCAGCAAAAATTAATAACTATATTGATTTTAAGTATTATTATCCAAAATACTTTTAAAAATATTTATTATAAGATTTTACATTTATTAAAAAATACACAATATAAGGCTTACAGCCTCTATTAAGTTTAGCGGTCAGGGACATTGAAAAATCGGCAATTTAGAACTTTCGACGCCCTAAATACGGGGAAAAAACGGCTCCTACGGGCACGATACAAGTTACCGAATTTGATCATCGACTTCTAATCTACCCAAATCTTGAGTTTCAGAAACTTGTTACAAAAACTTAACGTTTTCCAAAATACACAAGGGGAGGATTCGAGGACCCCCCCCCCCGACTCTGGGAGTACATTTTAGAGGGGCCTAAACCGAAACGTTTGGTGAAGAAACAGTCCCCTTAAGTTGAACCTGGCCGAGAATTACTTAGCTCAAAAAATTATATTACTATTATCATATTAAAAATAATATTAAATTGTCGTGAGCCAAAACAAAATGCTTCTAATGTGAGACAAATGTATGGGTTGAAAAATGAAACTAAAAACGCTTTCCCTGTCTCAAGTATATTCACATTTTATTACGATTATGTGGATTTTAAAATCAAACTCCTACAGTTAAGTTATTGGAACCACAAAACTACGAGAAATAATTAATGGACACTCATGGCCTATGGGCTATGGATCATTTTTACCTTTCGGCCACAAGCAATTTCCGATAAAACTGTAGGGGCTGTCCTCGTTTTAGGCATTACAGAGCCTGCATCCCCTCGTAAGGAAGGCTTATAATTTTTTATGAGCAAAGAAATAATAACGATGGGACAAAGAGTACAAATAAGCAATAACTTAGTCTAAACCAATCTTTAACCAAGTGTTTTACTACATTTTAAGGTCTATTTTGATTTTTGAGTTGTTTAATCAAGCGTATTACGTATTTCCTTGGTTAACTTTTTTAAAAATGTTTTCGTTTTGGTTTTTGATTTAACAGTTAGGGATACGAATTTTTTCAGTAAAAGTGAAAATGATCCATATACGCCATTTAGTTATTTCTAATAGTTTTGCAAGATAAAAACATATATTTGAGAATTTTGATTTTTACAATAATTACGATCACGTAAATTTTATAATCAAACTCATGCAAGTAAGTTATTTGAACCTAAAAACTACGAGACACCTATGGACACCTTTTGATTACTTTTACCAACCAACCTCAAGCAATTTCCGATAAAACTCTGTGGGCTGTAGTCCACCTGTCCTCGTTTTAGGATTCCAGATCATCCTCTTGTAAGAAAGGCTTATACCTAACTTTTTTTACTAGTAAATAATAATAACGATGGGACAAAGAGTACAAATAAGCACTTACTTAGTCAAAACCAATGGGACTGATTTGGACCAAACAATTCAATATGGGGGGTGCCGGCACGTCTTTACAACCCCCTAATTAAATTTATAAGGATAACTCCGGAAGTAGTAGAGTACTGACGTCGAAAAAGTGGTACAGGATATCAGTAGCAAACTACTAAAGATTGGCTCATTTGGAGATCCAATATTTTGAATCGGGGCTGCATTATGGCTCCATACCACCCTCTCCCACTAATGATCCCCTGTAATTAATTAGGGGTTGCAGCACAAACGATGAAACTCGAGCACAATCCAGCACAAACGTAGCACAAACGAATGGCATAATTTAAATTTGAAAATTTGGAGGTGGGGGTGCAGCCATTTCGCTGGCACCCCCACTAAAGATCCGTTCTAGCTCATTAGGGTTTGCAGCACAAACGATGAAACTCGAGCACAAACCAGCACAAACGTAGCACAAACGAATGGTGTAATTTAAATTTTAAAATTGTGAGGTGGGGGTGCAGTCGTTTCGCTGGCACCCCCAATCATTATCTCTTATAACTCCTTAAGGGTTGCAGCACAAACGATGAAATTCGAGCACAATCCAGCACAAACGTAGCACAAACGATAGCCCTTGGTTTGAATCCGAAATTCTGAGGTGGGGGTGCAGTCGTTTCGCTGGCACCCCCAATCGTTATCGCTTATAACTCCTTAAGGGTTGCAGCACAAACGATGAAATTCGAGCACAATCCAGCACAAACGTAGCACAAACGAAAGCCCTTGGTTTGAATCCAAAATTCGGAAGTGGGGGTGCCAGAGAAATGCACCTGAGATTTGTTGAGTGTCGGCCGGAATCGAAAAACGGGATCTCAGTAAATAGGTACGGACAGTCTGTACCTACCTGGCTACCTATATATACGTTTATTCACCTTCTATATATATGTATACGCATACGAATATAATATAAGAGGAGCTGAATTAATATACACAACGTTATTAAATAGGTATATAATTAGTATCGGATTGGGACGCGCGGAATGTCCGACGGAACAACTTCAAACTATAATTTACGTATATAGGTACCTATATCAGCTGTTGTAGGCGTACGTTCGTGGAGTTAATTAAAACAGCAATAAAATTGTTACGAGTGTATTATATTTATATAGGTAGGCACCTAGTAAAACTGTGCACGCATGAATCACTGCTGCGGTTATCAAATCGATTTGAAAGGTCGTGTACCAGGTTCCTGGTACCTACATACTTATAAGTTACAGCTGGTATAGGAATATCAGCTATATATATTCTGTATGCTCATATAGATACATAATTATGTATCACAAAAATATATTTTAGTGCTTGCGCATTCGATTTGCTCGCAGAACTGCAGACGACGACGGCTCTGCATCAGTATATAATAATTAGTGCATGTATAGACATCATCGCGTGGTGCGTTCCTTCACCGTAATCTTTTACTAAACCTACTTCATCGACTCATCATAAACTGATAATATTGTGTCTTACATTGCCCTCGACCAAACAACTTCAACTTTATTTTGTCCCCTAAACAAATCGTGACCTTCAGAAAAAATATGATTTACATAAGTCTTGTAATTTTTTCCTATGGATTTAGCTGGAGGCATTTGCAATACCTATGGCCTATGAGACTCGCTTCGTTAAATTCATAGATAAATTTAGGGCGGCCACGGTGGCACATGTGCAATGCCGTGGCCTACTCGATAGGTGTAATTAGGGGGGAAAAGTTTGTTTAATATACATGATGCAGATGTCCATACTTCATACATATATTTTGTCAAATGGTTCTATTTTATATTTGATATTATTATTTTGAATATTGATTATTATATGCAACGGATAGTGTGTGAACCCTCTCCCCTTTAAGTGTTATTTATATATTAAATTAACTCCTCCCCACCTAAAAAATCCCGGCCATGTGCCTGGATGTAAGTACCTATACTATATGACCATCAGTAATGAGCGTAGAGTGCTTTTATATTATAATATTATATTCAGTAAAAGTACCTAGGTACATCTCATCCTACTATCGCATACAAGTATTAAGTTAGGTACGTGAAAATAAAATCACGACTTAACATCGTAATTTGTAGTCCTGAATGCAGTTGTCAAATTTTCAAACGACCGTGCACGATTTTTGGTTAACACAATATATTATTTTTATTTTTATATTAAATTGACGTGAACGGTGTCATTGCACTTCACTGCAGGCAATCCCTTTGAGCGAGTGTTTTTTCAAGAACGACAATTCTATCGATTTAGGTTCAAGAATAAGATTTACACATCATATTAATATACCTAATATTATATTGGAGTTGTTTAAATAAAACAGACGGATTAAAAAAACACATTCATTTATTGGTTTTTCAAACATAAATAATTTACTATTTATTATTCACAATTAATCTGTACGAACAAACAATTAGGCATGTATACTTACAATTATTATAATATTATATTATGTTATCGCAATATATTATACACGAGTGGAGTACATAACACGTCAATTAAAGTTTAAACATAATAATAAATATAACAAACTTTTGTCGATGTATACTTTTTGTATACAAATATTATGTATTTATACGATTAAAATATACACATAACATATATATATATTATTATTATATTATATACACGACATTATCGTGGAAGACACACGTGTGTTAATATTATATATTATTATAATGGTATACACATAGGCGCAATCAAGGGTAGGGGAAAGAGACTGCCCCGAGATATTTTACTGAGCCAGCAATAGTGTATATTTTTTTCTGATAGATTTTTAGTTTTCCACATTTCCTCATCCCCTAAGTGTATCCCAAGTTACGCCGATGTGTACACTTTATTATATATAATATATAGATGTACAGTAAGAGAAATACAAACGTTGTATACGAGTATATTATTTAGGTTAGGGTAATGACATCGCAAATTTTAGATCGGTACCACCCCTGTACAGCATATTGGCCGGAGGACCACCGACGATGTCATATTATTATATAATTACTAAATCGACTTATTGACACTATAGATCTCTCGTATAATATTATGATCGGAAGATAGTTAACTATAATTTTAATAGGTACCATATGGCTAGTCGAAAAATGCCATGGTGCTTAGACCCCAAGTGCAGCCCGTCCCCTTTTGCCTATGCAACAGTCGAATTATTGTTTTTATAAAGATCGCGACCAATGAGCTTGTTGTATGCATATAATTCACTATTGTATGACGCAGTTCTTGTCGTCCACCGACTGCTGTTGCTGTTGCTGCTGCATGTTCTGTTGAGAGTGGCCACCGGCCGTGGTCCTCCTACCGGGAGACCGGTGGGCGGTGGCCTGTTGTTTGGCGTACGCTATGGCGTCGTTGGGCACGTACGAGATCCTGGCCGCGGCTCCGGCTCCCGGGCCGTAAGGCCTGCGAGCCGGTAACCGGTACACCGAGAGGTCGTCGAGCTCGCTGCCCGAACTGGACGAGCACGTGGAACAGCAACCGTGTTCGGCCGAGGAATCGTCACCGTCGTCGTTACCAGGTGGTGGAGGCGGCGGCGGAACTGGCCTGCTGTTCCGGCTACGGCTCCGACTCCGGTTGTTCCGGCCTTCCCGGCGCCGACGTCTGGTGCGTCCGGAAGCCGGCGGGTCGGTCGACGACAAAGCAGTGCCATCAAAGCGGACGGACCTTCGGCCACCTGAGGCTGTGGCCACCGTCTCGGGCGTGGACGACGACGACGAAGCGTGACGTGGCTGCGATGGTGTATTTGCGGCCGCAACGATAGCAGTGGGTGGCGCTACGGCACCGGCCAGTCTCCGGTCGACCACCGGCCGGCGGCTCGAAGACGACGAGGATGGCGGGGATGGTTCCACGGCAGTGGCCGTGGCAGTGGCGGCAGCCGCGGTGGTGAGTTTTTCAAACTCGTTCAGAAGCCGGTCGGTGATCTCGTCGTCAGAGATGAGCTTCTCCAGGAACCTTTGAGGCAGTTTGCCGTTGCTCAACAGTCGTTGCAGCTCGTAAAGCGTTTCGTCCAACCGGCCGCCGTCCGTCCGGTCAACGGCGACGACAGCTGACGACGCGGCCGCGAACCCGTGACCGCGTGGTCTGCTGCCTCCGCCGCCGTCGTCGTCACTGGCCATGTCACCGTTACCACATTCGTCCCTGTCCAACACGGTGACCACGCGCCTGGACTCTACCACGGCGATGTCGTTGCGCCGGCGCCGCTGTCGCACGTCCAAGTCGGACGGCCGGGCGGCCACTGCGTTCGGTCGGTCGACGTGCGGTGACAACACGCCATCACCCGCGGCCCGTTGCTGCATGTGGCGTGTCGGCGACGGTGACGACGCGCCGCTGTTGTTGGAGTTCTGCAACGCTCTGCGACCCATTAACGGTGACCGGCACGCCGATTGTTGTGATGGCGAAGGTGACCTGTGGAAACAAAGAGATTAATGTCGTCATATAAGCATACGAGTGTCACTAGAGTCAACATTTTGGGATAGCAAAAAATAATTATCAAAAAAAATTTGCATTCTGTGTATTTGCTCTGCTCACTCTAATATCCCAAATAATTTACTTAACACTTGAGGTATTCAAATACAGCTAATATTATGTATACCATTCAAATATGTTCGATATTTAAACATTAATTCTTTATATTAAAATTATAAGCAAACTGTACTTTTTGTATAGAACTGAACGTTAGGGAAATTAGGTAGGTACTGGTTACAACTATTTTATTATACTTATCGTACTCTTATTTAAAAAATAATTCAAACTGTTACTATATACCTGTAGAATATGGACCCTATTATTCGCAATTTGCAGGTCATACTTATTTCAATTCCGTTTAGCTATTTTTTTTTCGCGATACCCCATAGTGACGCCTATATTATAGTTAAACGCAATGATGTTTGTCATAGAAGACCGCAAACTCCTCAATCGTGAGTATGACGGTTAGCATTCGATATTTGCCTAAATTATTGCGGTGAGAATCAATGGGTACAAAAATTAATCATAGTTATGATTCGTATGTGGTGCGGCTGTCCTACGTTATAATATATAAATTGTATATTTTTTTATCAAAGTAAATTAATTTTTATCTTGATGATTTTCATCAAGTATTATAATATAAGTGAATCGAGCGAAACTCGATCGTATTTCACACGAGCGTATCAGTTGTGGGGAGATGTCCGGTATAGTGCAATCTTATTGGCAATGACCTTCGGAGAACAGGGTTAAAGGTCACAGATTGCCGTAGGGCGAGAAAGGGGTCGACGCTATATAACTCGACCCCACGTATAATGTCAGTTCTTGTAAAACTAAAAAAATATATTATTTTATGAAATCGAGGAGACATTTCCATTACGATGAGTGTATAAAATAGTATTTATTATGGATATATTTGATTTCCCGAATTTTCAGTACAAAAAAGGTACAGCGTATCAACCTTTTGGTCCATAGGTGGTTTTTGGCTATGGTCTTTTATATTACAGGGACCTCCTAAAAAAAAGTTGAACAAGTATTAAATTATTATTTTATTAGCTATTGTTTGATATCGGGTCATTGAGACCCGATTTGTGTATGCGTATATGATTTATGTACGAGTATTTATATGTATTGTGTAAAAATTAGGTTTTAATATGATCTTTTTTTTAAATCAATAGTTTTATCATTAGCTCAACCAGTCTCATCCCACATTTATAAACATGTATTTAATTGTGTTAAAGATCTTCATAATAGTAAGTAACTATATAATTAAAAAGTTGAACACGTGTTTGATATACAGCTACATTGTTACAAACCTATATAATGATTACTGATACACCTAACTATATTATCTATAATATGTTTTATGTATTGTTTGTACAAAAGTTGCATAATATTTACCTATGATAAATACAAAATAACAATTTTCTATACTATTATAGCCATTATAGGACGGAGGGAAGAGAGGATTATGCGAATTTATTTGCCTGTTAAAATTTTATTTGAAAAATGTTAAGCTCCCCCACCATTGAATTCGGTTTAAACTCACCTATATGATAAGTGTCGATTTATATACCGTTGTGCGATCTTAGTCGCAATCGATAATATCATATTAGGTATACCTAAAATAGGTATGTTTTGAGCTATAAGAACCTAACCACCATAATATAGTATTATATATTCGATTTTTTGATTTTTTTTTGTTCTGCTTCCTCCATAACACGATGACATTCTCCTCCTCGAAGAACGCTGGTTCTATTATACGAATTAAAAGGGGCGCGAAACTTCCCAGATGGCTTTCCGATTATTAATATGTGAACTCGACTTCGCGGTCCCGCGATTGGGCGGCGGCGGAAGCGATGACGAAGTTATGGGAGTGACGTTTTTATATATTTTTTTCTTTCCGTCCTTGCACACACGTGCTACACGTCAAAACTGTCTCGGGGAATTTTTCATCTATTTGAGTGTCGGAGCGTACATGGTGACCAAAGTCAAAACTAATTACCAAGTGCGTTGGCGGTCAGCGCACCACTGCACATTGTACGGCCAGCTATCGACTCGGATATATTATATTGTTGTTTGATTATTATGTTATTTCAAACAGTTTACGACTTCGAGATGACAGCGTGGTTTCCTAGGACGGCCACACTTGTCATATGGTGAAGCTCAAGTTTTTCCAGCGGTTTTTATTAAAGCTCCCCAGATTTTACCAAAACGTCTAGAACCGGGGTGGGGGACGATCCCATCACACGGGAGTGTAATCGTCTCTCGCTTTTATACTTTGATTGCTATATTATTATGTAGCAGCAGGATACGTGATAAGTGTATAGAACGATAATAATTGCCTACGGAAAGGTTCGGTTGATTCCAAATAGCTGAAATTGACCTTTTGTCCATATTGGTTTCTCGCAATTGCGTATACCTAACTTAATGGTAGGCGGAAAAAAAGCCCACGGAAAAAAAGCCCACGGAAAAAAAGCCCAAGGAAAAAAAGCCCAGAAAAAAAAGCCCACGGAAAAAAAGCCCAAGGAAAAAAAGCCCAAAAATATAAATATAAATGTGAACAAAATATAATAATATATTAATAATACATTACTATACTATAACAGATAATAATCATAAATAATTGTATAAGAGGCATATATAGGTAATTTTATAAAAGAAAATATTAAAATTTCAAATATGACTTATACATAATATATAACTATTGAAAATTTTTAATGTATTTTAATTTAAGAAATATTATTAAGGTATATTATTATATAGAGGGTTTGATACTGCCATGAACTGATGAACCACCTGTCAATAAATTGCATTTTTATTACCCAACTATTGATAAGCACTTTTACATTTAATTTAATTTATATTGTTCGGTACTTACCAATATAATTTATATATATAACCAGTCAAAATGTTAAAATTTATCAATAACTGGGTAATATTGACACTCCATATAGTACTCCATTACTTGGTTATTGAGATACTATCTACACGTCCTACTAGTACAGTTTTATCCAGTTATACATTTGTTATATATTTTATACTTTTGTTTTACCAATTTTTGTGAATATGGAGATTATCAAATCAAATAAAGGTGGTAACAAAGGTTTTTACAAAGGTTATGTATATGTTGTAAAGTATATTGGCGTATCAAAAATAACCTGGAGGTGTTCTCAGAGGTGTTCAATGAAATGTACTGGAGAATTATACACCGATCTCAAAATGGAGACTATTACTATTATAATTAACAATTAATTATTATTTTCATTATAATATATAATAATATATTATTATATTTTGTTCACATTTATATTTGTATTTCTGGGCTTTTTTTCCGTGGGCTTTTTTTCCGCGATTCAACTTAATATCACACATTATATTGTATTATAAAAAAAAGCACACTATCACAAAATCTTATAAGCCCAGCTTGTCGTTATCGAAAATACAGGCATACTATAAAAACCATGTTATTATAATATTCTTTTAAAAATGTGCACTATGCACCAAACAAAATCCTCAAGTATGAAAAATAAATATGCTAGTAGAAACCTGCACCTTTATGTATACAAAAATAAAAATTATGACGAGGCAGCGTGGACAGAGAAGCGAGCACTATATGAAAAATTTAAGTAAAAGTCCTGTAAAGGCTTCACGTTTAACTTTTAAACTTTTTTCAATAGGCGTTTTAATTTTTAAAGTTTAAAATTTAAAAACAGAACATAGCCTCGTTTAAATGTTTACATTGCCGACTAAACGTGATTTAAGATTTGAAGTACCGAAGTTATATAATATTATAGCTGTCACTGTCTTATAGTCTCATTTTATTTTTTATCGGAAATGTATAATAAAATATTACTAAATTACTTATTGTTAAGATATTCTATCTTCTACAATCATGCGCATTAAAAAGACAAAATATTACATAAAATATATGTGAAATACCCAAATAGGTGCTTAAAAGTATGCACAAAAAAGTTTGGAATTCTTATTGACAGCGTCGCCGTAAATATCGTACCTAATATAATATTATGCCGTCGACCAGAAAAAAAACACAAACGAATGCAAAAAAAAAACCAAAGCCTTACAGTATAGACTAACGATACGGAGGAGGACTATAAAATCGTATTTAAAATACAAGGGAAACCTACGCGAATCCGTTGGTCGTTGCGGTCCGTCTTCCGCCGCCGGCCGGTGAATCGGGCGCGGCGGCGACCGGTTGCAGCTGCAGCGTTTGCGCGGGCGTCGTCTGTGCCGTTTGTGCAGCGGCGGCGGCGTCGGCCATTTCCGATTCGGGCCTTTGCGATGTCGTCATCGTCGTCGGAGGTTCGCCTTTGCTGCAGGCGATCGAACAAAAGATGGCCCCGCGACGTGGCAAGAAAGGTCTGCCGAGCAGGGACGATCTGCACGTGTGACAGCAGAAACACTGTTCAGTGGCGTGCCAGTGTTGTCCTTCGTGACTCATTTGTCCTGTGCACATAAAAGTGACAAAATTATAATTTACAACACACACACACAATGCGTACGAAATAAGCCCTTGTAAAACATAATGTATATTAGTACGCCGAGTATATCTGGTCATAATTATGTGATCACTGATCATGTATAATATAATAATAACTATATAAAAAGTGGAATATGTATCTTATGACTCCATTTATACCCACCCGCCCACCAACCATGCAGACAGCAACCCGACAATTTCTACCCGTCCTCAAATTGTGTAGGACGTTGTTTTCGGTGATTTTTTTTATAAGATTTTCATTGAAATATATTATTAAATACTTATTATCATTGTATAATTTTATATGAGATGGTATTCCGAGAACTTCGAAAATTCACATGAATATTTTATTTTATTTTATATTATATATTCGTTAAGTCAACTGCATAATATGCACTTTGGTATTTAATAGTGATGGCCAATTCATTGGTTAAATCCGACAACCATATCTAAAAGGTTAGGTTAGGTTATATATTTTCAGTATTTCAATTAACGCTCGAGCAATGTCGCATTATATAGTATTAGACGACGTTTAATCGATTATTCGTGTTCGTTGTGCAGTCACACTAAAATAATATTATAAATATATTTTATTTTTTGTATTGATAATTAACTGTGCCCTCACCACATTCCTATTTTTTGTATTCCCGTGTAGTTAAATGAGAAAATACCATGGGAAAATACGCAGTGCGTTTCTCTACAATCTGTATACACGTAGCTTTATATAGTCTCAAAATTACATATTGAAACGAATGACGATAAAATTTAAAGAAAAGGTGATAGGTATCGTAAAGTAGCTTCACTCGAGCTGTCCTGCAGGTCCCACGCTCCGTTACCACATGCACAACAATCAACAAGTCAACAGCCATTTTTCAAAGAAAAATTTAATAATTTAATCTTATTTTCTTATAATAAATTATTACAAATACCAAAAATACGTTTACAAATAATAATAAATATATTATTTTTAATTTGTTGAATTTTTGAAATTGTTCAATTTATCTCTATTCTCTAGTGTACTTTACACCTATTAAACAGGCTATATTTAATAAAGTAAAACCACATTTGGTTTGCATAAAAATGGCCTGATATCCTTATCACTACTTTTTTACAATAGCAACAAATCAACAATACAGCCCAAGGATAATATTAAATTATTTATGAATACTTAAAAAAAAAAAAAAAATCCAAAAGCCATCGCTCCCACATATTATTATTATTATATTATAATATGATAAAGGTACGCCGCCGATTGTATATGGGCACTGCTGCGGATCGCGTGACGTGCGGTTATAATATATAGGTAATATATCATAATATTCATCTCGCCGCAGCAAACGAAAGAAAAAGTCGGAAAAAGTAAAAACCGTTTCGAAATCTAAAACGTGTAGACACTCAAACGACGTCGATACCGGTTTGTCCGGCGTGCGCGTTTAAGTCGTCGTAAAAAAAAGGAAACCATGCAACGATGACGGAATAAACGATAATATACATAATGAACGTTTTTATAATCTCGAGGCGGCGAGATAAAAATGTAAAGAGATCTAAAAAAAAAAGAAAAGTTTAGTATACACACAATAAAACGCAAGGCTATTGTTTCGCAGTTTTTCTAAAGTTTCGTATACGCTGCGGCGGCAGTCATTATTTTAATATTACGTACAGAATAATAATAATAATAATACTATGGGCTCGTAATAATATAATGATTAAATATGTTATAAATTTATAATATCGTAATGTGTGTGTGTGTATGTGAGTGCCTAAAACTATACTATTAATATAAGGCAGGGATCTAGGTTATTTGTCACCAGGGGTAAACGTAATTTTGGCTCCCCGTATAATACCTCGAAATATAATGTTTTTAAGTTTTTATACTAACAAACTATTGTACACAGTATAACTTTTCATAAGTGCCTACCAACTGAAGTAAAATAAAAAAATAACATGATTTTTGTTGACTTGGACTGAACGTTTTACTATAATACGTACATAATAATAATTAATGCTATAAGGGGCATTTGGTAAATATATATAAATTATGCATTAATATTTTGTTTTATTTTAATTAAAAATTAAATTTTCTATTTTAATTTTTGGAAAATTGCTGACCAGTACTTGATAATTTATTGAATTTTGTCTTGCAATTTTCTAGATTCTGAGCGCACCGCGGTGCGATAATATTATATAATAATATTATGTAATTCGGCGTTCAATCGGACAGGTTCAAAATAGCGAATAATAGTTCATAATAATAAATTAATACAGAGGTACACTGTTTAAAAAATTATTTGAAATAAAATATTTAAATTTTCAAGAGTCTGTCATTGAGGCGCCCGCCGTCCTGGCGCTCGGGGGCATCAACCACCGCTCCCACACCATAGATCCGGCACTGGCTATACGACCGATCAAAGACCCCGTGTTCTTAATCTATTTTGATGGGCCACAGAAAAACTACATACCCTCGTAAAAAAAGATGATTTTGTTTTTACACGGGATCCACAGTGTTTGAGAGCCCCTTGTTTATATAAAGTGCACGAACTGCTGTATAATAATAATATGATATTATAAAATATAGTATTGAAATATTGTTATATTGCGATAGTAATAATAATAATAATGATGATAATATTATGTAAAATGTGGTGGAACAGACGCGTATAATAAAACGCTGCGAGGATCCCTACAATTAATACTATAATATAATATTATCAACAGCGGTCGCGTTTATTGCTGTTCGTATCGCCCGTCTGGTTCGGTAGGTATATATTATAATAATGTGTATAATATTATTATTATAATAATGTGCACGGAAATGAAAATATTATGTTGATCTACGCGACCGGAGCTGCTCCTTATTTTTTGTTTTATCCGTCCAACTTACCTGCTGCTGCTACTGCTGCGCGAAACGGGTTCGGCGGCGATGGGGGGTTTGCGCTTGGTCATAAAATCGAAATAGTTTCGTTAAGCCCCGGCCCGGAGACACGCACGATGGTGTGTTATTAAACGTTGAAAAATATAAAACCCACGACGGGCAACAAAAATATGTTTGGTTTACGAGTAGAACGAGTGCGACTAAAAGTTCTCTAGCGTTTATTATAATATTGACTGATAGCAGCAGCTAGTGAGGGCGCTGAAAATAATAATATGTCGAGATAATAAAAGAAACCAAAACGGCAGGAAGCGAAACGGTGTGGTAATGCAATGCTAATGCCGCCGAGAGAGGATTAAACGATTTATTTGTTTTGTTTTTTACCGTTAAAAACATAAAAAAAACGTACGAATCGTATTCGCGGTGCCTACCTATATATATGTTGTTTCTGCTGTACGAATATATTTTAGTATTTTACTTCACGTGGTTCGCCTGCTGCAGGATGATCTTTTTACCCCCCGATAGATCTTGTTTCGTGTTCAAATATTATTAGGCAGGGTTTTTGTTTGAATTCAGATTTTTATAACTTTTAAGTTAACCTACCAGTTATTTACTTAAGACCGTATCTTTAAATATGTACTTAGATTTTTACTAAATAATTATATAGAGTGTACCTAACAGGAATAGAACTGACGAATGAAATAACTTTTGTCTTAATCAATATTATTAAACTTTTTTTTATATAAAATTTATAGACTATAAAATATAAAATAGAATATGTAATATTGCATAAAATATAATTTTTTTTTTATTTTAATTCTGAAAATAAAAATGTTTAAATCTGATATAATTTTTTTCGAATAATTCAAAACAACCAATTTGTAAATATGGATTTTAGAAAAAAGTTGTTTGTAAAAACATTTATGTGAGCCATGTGGTTTATTTTTTAAAATTTGTTGAAATCTCATTATTTTTGTTAAATAAAGTTGATCTAGTTGTAAAACATTTTATTTTCAAATAAATTCAAGATAAATGTTGTTACAATCAAAAGTTTTCCACAAGATTTACAAATTGGCTATTTTGAATTTTTCAAACAAAATTTAAATCAGATTTAAAATTTTTATTTTCAGACTTCAGTATTAGATAATAAAAAAAATTATATTATACAATTATACAATATACAATATACATGTAACGCAAACGTCAGTAAAATAAAAATATATATGTAAAAAAAAATATTTATCAGAACAATTATTTTATTTGTCAAGTCTTCATGTTACACCCTAAATTGACGTGGCAGTACAATCTAATAGCAGACAAATTTTTGTAATACTTTTCATGTGTTTAAATTGATATGCGAACAAGTACCTATATTACGCCTATTATAGTTTCTGAGTTATTCTATGCTATATGTATCACGAATAATAGACTATTGAATATTTCAATGGAACATAAATAGGTATGGGTTTAGGATATATTATACAGCTATAAGGTTATACCTACATTAAGACGGAAAATAGATGTTAATCACCAATCAGTGAAGTTAACTTAGTCTATAGTTTATTTTTTTTTTAAATTATGTATAATGGTTCTACCTTCTACACAATCTAAACTCAGACGCATTTATTTATATATTACAGTATACAAGTATTCAATAGACCATTATCCTTGGTACACAAAGTAGAATAACTCATGAACTATACTTGTTCGATTTCAGGAGGTATTTAAAAATGTGTTAAAGAAATCGTCCTGCACACTACAATTAATATATTATTTTTAAAAAACAAGGTCGTCAAAAAAGTCATGAAATTCAATAAAATATGAAATATCTCAGCATTGAAAAATATGTAGTCTTTATAATATATAATCATTAACTACATAAAAATTTCTTAATTCTATAAAACGCAATAGGTTATAGATGGGGTGAACAACTAACGTACGACGGTAAAAAAGTCAGCTTGCAATACAAGTAACGATTATTCACTTTAATTCACGTAATATTACCGGTGTAATTATTTTTAATGTTATTTTAAACTTTCTAGCGATTATTTTAACTTTAGGGAGCGTCATTAACGGAATATTTGATTTGGCAGTTGT